GTCCCATACCTAGCTAAACAATTTTTAATATCAAAGGTCTAAATTTCAAGCAATTCCATTGTTATATGTTGTTCGTGAACTAAGTGCCCTTTAGTTGTCATTAATGTTTGAAGTTTGTTGATAATATAGGTACGCAACTCACAGCTGTCAACCGTGCTCTATCATATGGTCCGGGAGTCACAAACCAATCGTTCATTTCGATCACTCGTGCTTTACCACATTCGTCACCGACAGCTATTAGTGCTCCGTCTTCATGGCATTTAATACAATTTAACCTATTGTCAGACACCTGATTAGAAGATAACGTGTATAATCCAAATTATATTATGTTCTGTGTATTATTTTGTAAACAATTATTATGTGTTAACTGTATTGTAATAATAATAATTTTATGTATGTTTCTTTTGTAAATCTACATTTGTAAAATTACGCTAACGAGCGTTAATTAATAATAAATAAATAAATAAATAATAAAAATAAAAATAATTAGTATCTTTGGGTACCTTAATAGAAAGTATCGGTTTTGTTTGATGCTGTAAAACATCCCAACAGTCCATGAACCCATCAGATCTGGTCGTATAGAATACTGAAGGCTTCGAATTGCTCCATTGGCCGTCGGTCAATCTTATATCATAATTTCTGTAATAGTATAATATAATTTGATGTGTAAAATTAAACCCCTCGTTTTATTAAATTTATTTTAATATTTCCATATTGGTATTTATATAGATACGTACTTGGTCCACATAATTTGAGATTCTTTTGTCTCTTCTGCCCATATTTTGGCCTGCCAATCGCCAATGGTTAAAAAGTTTTTCAAAAACGCAGGATTTCGATGCACCGAATAAACTTGGCCATAATGACATTTATAAGTAGTAGGTATTTTTTCTAAAACCGTTTTACCTTTACGGTTTCCGTCAAACACGTATCCACTTTTTGTGCCAATCTACTTTTAAATAATATGAAAAATTTTTCGATTTTTCACTTATAAAAAAATTTATAATTTATGCAATATAAATTATTTTAATAATAATTTCAATCAACAGTTTCAACAGTCCAAAAAAATCAACAGATAGCATTATGTTCCATTGTTTTCACAGTCTAGTCACGATTACGTTATTTTTAAGTTTTTTAAATTTTTATTTTTTTTACTTTTTAAGTTTTTTAGTTAAGTTCTAAATTTTCAATCTCTGGTTATAATAAACAAATAGTAATAATGTCAAACAGTGGTATAGCCAAGTATGTGAAGGAGAATGGGGAACACTACATTTTTTTACAGTTTTCGTATATAGGWAAACATTATAAATAATAAATTTACAAATGCGAAATAGACAATAAAAGGGGAGGGGTTAAACACCCATACATCTTCTGGCTACTTAGAACATACTTATGAGTATAGCGTGTTTAGTGTATTGTGTACTTTTTTCGTAGGCCTTTATTTTATGCAGTTAAAAATTATCCTCTATTAATATCAATTAATTTTTTTTTTAGAATGTTTGGAAAGGATAACTGATACTGACTGATGAAAAACAAAGTATTTTCATGTTATCGTAGATTTTTTTTATCCCGAGCGAACATTTTTACGTACCATGAAACGTATTGGAATTGAAAAATGGTAATCTATGCAAGCAACTGCATGTGAGCGGCCCCAATGAATCCATTCTGGTGTATCATCGACATCAGATTGCGATAAATCTAAGAGCACTGTGTCCGTGGGTTCTTTGAGGTTTCTAATATCCCACCACATGATCTGTGGAAGAAATCAAAATATAAAAGCTATTCTATTGTATATAATATGTTTAAACGATATTGTGTTGTGAAATTTACTTTATAATATTATAAATTAAAGATAACAATTATTTTTAAATTCAAAAGTGTAAAAATCTCAATATTTTTCAAAAGCAGCAGGCGAAAAATAAACAAAATATTAAGGAAAACCAAGAATTTTTACGCAAAACTGGTTTTAAAAAATTAATTTTGGTTTTTGCCGTGACTCAAAAACAAATGACCGTATAAATATGAAATTTTTACTCAATCCTATGTAAGCATTTCCTATATAGGTGCCATAAAACTTTTAAAATATTTTGACTTGTGTTGAGCTGTTTATGGACATTTRCAGATTCCAAATATTTAAGTTTTTTTTCTATAAATATCAATAAAATTTTATTCGTTGGGTACAAAAGCTTGAAAATTTAATACATGGTCTTTAATATTATTACAATGGTAGTTGAAAAATAAAAACATAATCACAATTTTTTTTATACAAATTTTATACTTTGAATTTTGAAAAAATACAAACTAGAACTCATGAAAATCTCAAAATTATTTTGAGTTAGAAATTTATAAGAATTTTTCCTTTGATATCCAAGATTCAAAAATATAAAACAAGATTCCTCATAACTTAATTACAACGGGGATTTTAGATTCTGAGTGAAACGAGAAATGTATTTATTTTACCATGTGTGTGTTTTTTTTTTATGACTGTCATCACGTTTTGGTGCGGTAAAAATGCTTCGGATTTTGACTTCAGWATACTTTGGAGGGTCAAAAGTTAAAAATTCTCAATATTTTTCTTCAATTTTTTTTATAAGCACTCAAAGTTTGAATTTTGACAACATACGTAAAAATCACGAAAATTCACAAATTATTTTATGCTAGAAATTCATAAAAAATTTTCCTTTTAAATCTAAGATTTGAAAATTGTTAATAATTTATAATCCTAGACAGGTAAACCGTCTCCGCTCAGAATCGTTTTTCGTATAAAATGATATAATATTATTGGATTCAAATTTAATTCCATCCATTACAGTAACCCACTTGAAACCTACTGTACAGCAGAGCGACATCCACGACTTATCCGCTTTTTTATTTAGTGGTTAATCAAAAACTATTAAACACGAGTACTTGAAACTTTTATCACAATTATTTACAGAGCATTTACTATATACGATATAATTTTTAAAATATTTCAACTATTCCTAAGTTATTTATAGACATTTTAAATTTGAATTTTTTTTAGTTTCATATTCTATAAATATAAATATCAATAACATTTTCAAATATAATTTCAACTCAAATAACATTTCGATGAGACAATAAGCTAGAAAATATAAATACAAGGTTTCTCATAAGTTTAAATAAAATATGTATATACACAATATACATTGGTACTTTTTTATTTAACCGTTCAAAGTTCAAATGTTGAAATTTTACCAAWAACTTAATATTAAAATATCCTAGGCTGACCAACCGTCTCCGCTCAGAATCAATTTTCGTATTCAATGATATTATATCACTAAATTCAAATTATTGACCAGTTTGTAACCTACTATACAGCAGCACGACATCTACTTATCCRATTTTTGAAATTTGTGAACAATATTACTTTTTCATTCTAGTAAAAAGTGAATTCGCTATAATTATTTAACATATACGTGCTTGGCCATCACTGGATCCTGTCAAAAATTCCGAGTTGGTCTTGGATTGAATCCATTTGAGACTAAGGACAGGGTCACGATGACCATTCCTGATATCAGAAATGCCGACATTTGTGGAACTGGTTCGCATGTCCCACAACGCGACCTGTCCATTCATTAAGCCACCCGCAAGCAGTTGTCCGTCTCTGTGGTGAAACTCAATCTTGGTGATCGGGTATTGTGACTCAATCGTAAAATGTGGAGATGTAAACATTTCTGTAAATTCAAGAGATTCGTATATCAATCAATGTATTCCCCAGGAGTTCACTGCTAGGAGTTATAAAACTCATAAAAAGATGTATTGATTGAATACATAACATTATTATTAGTCAATAACATGTATTAGTTAATACATAAATAAATTGGTCAGGTTCGGTATTCCACGATTAGTCTCCACATGTTTTAGATAGATGGAAGTAATATTTAAACTTATTGTAGCATAAGATACTCTTAAGTACTAATATATTTAAAAGCACCGTCACCCAAAAAACCGATAACTTTTTTCGTGATGTTCGACATACTCATTTTTTGCTTGAAAATTAAAATATTGGAAAAATTGACACCACTTAAGCACATACTCTGTTGTCATCTAAGATATTGATAAGATGATATACTCAAAATTCACTTTAATCTCAAAACTAACAGCACAATAATGTAACGGACATTTAGTACCTATACGTTTGTATGGCAGAGACAACGATCGCGCGTCCTCGTAAATTACTATGTTTTTGCTCTATAAAAAGTAAGAAATAATATAATTAATATAATTTTAAGTGATAGGCAACATACGTATAACTTCTCACTATTACCAAACGTAATTCAGTCCTGTGAATGTGTACATTATCTACGAGCGTTGTGTTATAACAACRCGTATTTTTAAGTCATTATTTTAAATTTTAATACTGAAAATATAGTTTGTCTATTTTTAAAATACACATTTTGAAAGATAAATATTTTAAGACTACAAACGTCTTATTGAAAGTAAAAAATAAATATTTGACTATTGTTAGTTTATAGATCATATTTG